ACACACACACACACACACACACACACACACACACACACACACATGTACGCGCACATGTGTACAAAAATAAAGTACGGCAATTCCCTACCAACAACAACCACACCACCACCACCACCACCACCCCCACAACAATAACAACAAAAGCACCAAGAACACCACCACTATCACCACCACCTCCAACAACAACAACATCAACAACAAGAACACCAGCACTAGCACAAAAAAATAACACAACCACCACTACCACCAACAACAACACCTCAACCACCACTACCACCACCACCACCACCACCACCACCACCACCAACAATAACACCTCTACCACCACTTCCACCACCACCACCACCAACAACAATACCCCTACTACCATGACATTCCCTCACCTGAAATGGCTCATTCTTCTGCGCGTGTTGTTCCCTCCGTCTCTCACTTCCACTAAGAGGATGTGACGTGTCACTAGTGACGTCACGACTCTGACTCCGCCCCCTTGCTCGGTCTGTCCCACGGACCCTTGACGTCTCCTTTGAGCCTCCCTGTCTGGACTTGGTCTCTTCTAGTGATCCACTTTGTGACGTCACAAACTTCGTTTTACTAAAGGTCTCTTCTGAAGACAGATAAGAATCCTTTCTATCTCTCCTTCCACCTATATCATGTCTCTGCTGAAGACTTTCTTTCTCTCTATCCCCGGACTGTTTCGTAAAAGTATTGTTGTTCTTTCTTCTCTCTTTCCCTGGACGATTCTGATTTCTTCTGTCTTCAAAGCGTGACCGTCGATGAGTTTGTGGGTCTGTCAGCCGTGACTCTTGGAAATGAGCATATTCGTCTGCCGGCGTCTTTCTGTCTTCTTCCTTTCTCCCCGAGCTGTTCTTTTTGCTGAGAGCCGTTTCTCTCTCCTGTGGCTGTTCAGAAGATTTCTTCTGTTGTTGTCGCAAATTGCGTGCAGCTTGATTGATTGTGCTTTCTTTATTTGTCTTGGTCGAGTCTGCGGGGATTCCCCTGTCAGCCAGTATAGCATCGTACCATTTAGTGTTGGCTTTTTCCTCAAGAGTATGGCTATTTCCCCCACCGGGTGATTTGTGTTTGTCTCTGCGAATGTTTGGTTCGTTATGTCCATTTTCCCCACCACTGGATACTTGTTTGTCAAGTGGCATCTGTTTGTCACGTACGTTTCCTCGATCACGCTCGTTCTTCCCACCACGCTGTGTCAGCGAACTGCGTGTATTTGCTCTGTAAATCCTGTTCTCAGCGCCACGCCGAGACTGTGTGTCACGTGTATTTTCCTTCTCAATGCCACGCCTATTACTTATGTCACGTGAGTTCTCAATACTCTTCTCTTTCTGCACACCACGTGTATTCTCTTTGCCCCGCCCTCTATTAGGACCACGTTTGACATTCACGTCTGGTGGGTTCTCTGGGTTTTGTTGAGCACTCATACGCCTTTGTTTATCCCCGTCACGCCGCGCCGTCTTCACGCCAGCTGTGTTCCCTGCGTCACGCCCCACTTTACTGACACCACGTTGATTCTGGCCAACCCTGTGCTCCAAAACGTGCGGTGTCATTCCTGCACCACGTCTGTCCTCCCCCATGCCACGTTTGCCCTCTTTCACGTCACGTGCACCGCCCACCGTGGTGGCCGTTGTGGTCGGTGGTGGAGCGTCGTACCATTTCCTGGTCTGCTTCATTGACCCACGAAGTGGTCCTTTTTTGTACCCGTGTCGATCCAAACCCACACGACCTGTACCCGTATTGGTCGTCCCAGAAACGACTTTCTTTGTTGAATCCGACGAGACTTTCTTTGATTTGTCACCGGCTTTTGATAATGCCTGTACTTTTTTGGGAGTTACATTTCCCCTCACAATATCTTCTCTGGCGTTTTCTTTATCTGACTTTGATTCTGTCACTTTTTGAGTTGCGACATAAATTGGCTTGTCTTTTTGTTGTATGGGGGAGGGGCGGAGTGTGGCGGCGGCACGCGTGATGTCAGAAGTTTGGATGTGAGCCGAGTATTTCTCGCTATTTTCTCGGTTCGTGTTTTTGTTTCTGTGACCACTCGTCTTTCTGTCGGCCCTAGAGTGCCCCTCGTTGACCATTGACTTCCTCCTAGGATAGTCATGTGGCCCGCTTGTGGTCTGTTCCTGAGACTCTGTATTTTCCCACCAAGGCCCAAACGTTTGCTGTTCATTTTTCTCTTTCCCCCCCTCACTCAGACTTTTCTTTTCAGCAATCTTTGGTTGATTCTTTTTCTTCACCTTCCTCCTGTCCTGCTCCATGAGACCCTTCCCAGTCAGATATTCCTCCCTTCCTTCAGGAGGAGTATCTTTTCCTTTCCTCGGCTGCTGCCACTCAGGATCTAGAGAATTGCCTTGTTTTACGGTGTTTTCTGCCCTCTGTTTCTTCTGACCTCTTGGAGTTTTTTTCTCAATCCTCGAGTCGACCCCGGACGTTTCGTGTGGTGTGTCCACCGGTCTGTCGTACCAGCGTTGTGAGTGTGTTTGAACTAGCGGGGTCTTGGAGTACCAGGGTGCTCGTGACGTCGCCATCATCTTAGACTTTGGGGACGAAGATTTCTGGATTTCTTCTTCGATTCTCGACTTGATTTCCGACACGACAGTCGAGTTTGTTAACATCTTTTTGATCTTCTTCACGTCTCGTTCTTTGATATCCGGATTAACGGTTTTGAGTTCGGACGTGTGATCTAGAAGGCGGTGAATCTCTCGGTCGATGATCGCGCCCTCGCTCTTGCCTCGTTTAGTTTTCCTAAAACGTTTCATCGTCCTTTCTTCACGCGGTTTGAACGGCGAAATGGATAAGTGGGACCGGTAGGACTGGGCTCTGGGCTTAGCACTCTTTTTGAAGCCAAGCAGTATGTTTTTATTTGCTTCTACCTTGACTCCGTTTTCATTGTGTTTATCGTTGAGATTTTCCGTTCTGTTCAGTTTGATGGGCGCTTGAACAGAGTCAGACTTTGACTTTTGATATTTGCCATATTTATTTTCATCGTTCACGTCAATCAGATTATCAGAGTCGTCTGCGTTGTTCGTCTCGCTGCCTGAGTAGATGTGCTCGTAGTTAGCTTGGTGGGTTGTGGTGTTGGTCTCCGTCTCAGAAAGGTCTGACGTCTTGTTGGATGAGGCTTGGACGAGGTGAGGGCGAGTGACTTTTTCATAGGCGAGACCGTCATAGGGATATCGCTGGTCCCCTAGTGATTGTCTTGGGATCTCTTGTGTTTGCTTCTCAATCACCAGTGTCGTCATCTTCTCCTTTTCCTTGTCATTGTTGTTGTTTACTTTGTTGTTGTTGTAGTTGTAGTTGTTATTCTTGTTGTGGTCGCCGTCATCGTTGTTGTTATTGCTGCTGTTGTTGTTGTTGTTATTGCTGTTGCTGTTGTCTTTGTTGTCGTCTGTGCCCACCTTTCTGGGTGTCCACCACGGCTGTTTAGCGCCAGAAACCACCGGCCTTCTGATGACAACACTAGCTCTTGTTGTGGGAGGGAAGATGGGAGCTTGTGGCGAGGAATCCAATTTCTCCCTCGAGATGGACAAACTCTTCACTTTGTTACCGTTAGCTGATTGAATGGCTGACCCATTATGATGGACCCCTGTGGTCGTCTCAGATGATTTTGACGAAATTATTGTGTCTGAAGATGCCGTAATTGGCTTACCTTTTGTCATCGTCTTTGAGTTCATCGACTCTCTGGTTGTCATTGTTGTCATTGTTGATCTCGACGTCTCTTCCTCCTCCTTCTTCTCCTTGTTCTTCTTTTCCTTCTCCGCCGAGTTGCTAGGATTGAGTTTGATCACAAGCTTTGTTTTCCCCTCCTCATCCTTCTCCTCTTCCTTCTCCGTCTCCTTCTCTTCCGTTTCCTTCTTTTTCTTTTCGGCTGAGTAGCTCGGAATCAATTTGCCGTTTTCGTCCAGAATGTTGGTTTTGCTGATGCCTGCGTCCAGTTCTGGGACCTCATACCATTTCCTGGGCTTGTCTTCCAGCTGCATGGCACTCACCGTGTTCTGGCCACGCCTCCTCAAACCTTTCTTCCCTTTAGCCCCGCCTTTTGCGTGCAGAGACAAGATCTTGCCCGCTGATTGGTCGGGATTTTGCGCCCCCAGAGATCTGACGTTTGAGGACGCGGATCGAAACTGGACCTCCGGTCTTTGACTATCTGTGCTGGATTTCATCGGGGATGCCTTGGATTTGAGAGTGGTGAATCGAGTCACGTGATAGCCGCCATCGCTGCCATTTTTGTTACTAAATTTAGAATCCTGAGTATTGGACGTATTCTTATCGGCAGGAGCGGAGGATTCCTCGGATTTCTCAGAGGGTTGGGCCGGCTTTCTCGTTGCCCGGAAATCTACGATCGCCTCTTCGTGATCGCCAACACCTTTTCCACTCGCGCTTTCGTCGCCGTGTTGGGCGTTTTCATCACTTTTCCCGCCATTCAGCTTGTTAGTAACGTCACTGCTGCCTTCCATAAACTTCCTATGACCCCTGCGAGCCCGTGAACTTTTGACCCCTCCTTTGTGCACAAGGCTGGACAGGTTGCTGCCAAAGGTCACGGCCTTGACCCTCCTTCTCGTCTGGATGCCTTTCTTGAGTGGAAACTTCCCCCTCAACTTCTCGCTTTGTGGCTGTATTGGGTTCACTTTATAAAACCAACGCAGCCCGTTCACGTTTTGGTTGGGTTTGAAAGGTGAACTGGACTGAACGACAGCCTTTTGGTGCTTCTCTTGGTAAAAAATTGCTGTCTTCTCCGTGCCTTTCCCAGAGTCAGCTACATCGCCAGATTTCTTCGTAATCTCGGTAGCAGCAGCGCCGAGTTTCCTTTTGCGAATTTTACCTCTGAAAACGTTTTTCTTGTTGTTCACAGGGCTCGTCGCCTTGGTAACGTACTTATCATTCTGTATCTTTTCCGATTCATGTGGTCTTTGCATTGTGGTTGACCTCTGCATCTTGCCCTCTTCCTTCCAGTCGAAGGCGGAGGGTTTCTCGTCTAAAGCTTTGAAATAGTTGAGTTTTTTTCCTTGACCACCTGCAGCGGTAATGTGGACGTCATTAAGCACGGATCCACCGATCTTCTTCCCTCCGCTCCCAGATTTCCCATTTATGTAACCGACCTCTCTATGGTCCTTCAGCCGTCGGCTCTTCTTCTCTCTCCCGTCCGGGTTCGATTGTTTCCCCGGCAGTCCCTTTCCGACTTGTTTCCCCGGCAGTCCCTTTCCGACTTGTTTCCCCGGCTGTCCCTTTCCGACTCCTCCTCTTTTCCTTAGTCCCTTCCTTCTCACTTGTTTTCCTCTCGCCAAATCTTGTGTGTTTGACTTTACTGCTGTCTCCAAAGCCGACCCATCCACGGTCTGTTTTGCATGTGACGCCACAACGTTGCCAATGCCAGGAAGGGCGTTTGGTGTTTTGGTTGAGCCAATCAGATCCGACCTGAGCGGGACGGCTTTGGGCTTCTTGAGCAGGCCAGAGGGCAGTCTGTAAATAATTTTTTACAATAAATTATAGTCAGACTTTTAGGGCACTTGCAGCACAAATAGGTCATATAAGTACAGAAGAACAGAGAGTGATACTAGGTATTTTAAAAAATGAAGGAGAGATAAGGGCGATAGATGTTTGATAGGAAAGAAGGAACAAACGACACCAGAGCACCTGCTAATCACGCACCTGTGAAATAACGGCGACTTGCCCAGTATTCTCAGCTTGGACTGCCTAAGTTGAGCCTTGGGTCGGCTAGATTCGGGCCGTCTTTTCATCGTCTTCACTTTAGAGGTCTTCACTATGGTCTGAGGAGTATCAAGGTGGGAAAAGGATTCAAGTTTTTAAAATTACATAAACTTTAGAGCACTACTGGAGAGAGAGAGCGAGAGAGAGAGAGAGAGAGAGAGAGATAGAGAGAGAGAGAGAGAGAGAGAGGGGGGGGAGAGAGAGAGGGGAGAGAAAGAGAAAGAGAAAGAGAGGAGAAAAAAAAAGAGAGAGAGAGAGAGAGAGAGAGAGAAAGAGAGGAGAAAGAGAGAGAGAGAGAGAGAGAAAGAGAGGAGAAAGAGAGAGAGAGAGAGAGAGAGAGAGAGAGAGAGAGAGATGGGGGGGGGGTGGGGGGTGGGGTGGGGGGTCATAAACTTCATGATGAGTTGATATCCTTAACGCGTACTTGAGAAAAAAAAACCTCACCCTCTCCGTTCCAGCTGTCCCATCCACCTTCATCCCTTCCCCCTACCTCTCCATCCCCTACCCATCCACCTCCCTATCGACTCAAAGAAAAAGAAAATCCCCCAAGTGTGCACATTTGTGCAAAGATAAACTGTGTATGGCACGTATAGGTTTGACGCTTCTGTCAACACTATAAGGTTATAATAATAATAATAATAATAATAATAATAATAATAATAATAATAATAATAATAATAATAATAATAATAATAATAATAATAATAAATGACATGTATATAGTGCTGAACCCCGATTAAAGTACACAGGCTCTGAGCGCGTTACAATACAGTACAACATACAACAGTAACATAAAACGATGTGTTCTGACTAAAAGAAAATTAATTTGAAAAGAGAAACGACTTTTGCTGCTGGCATTTGAATAAATCAAAAGATTTGATCTCTCTTAGAGTACTTGGTAAAGCATTCCAGATCTTGGGTCTTGGTATTCAAATGCCCTTTCTCCCATTGTTTTAAGTTTCGCAGATGGTAAAATAAATTTCTTTTTGTCAGTTGATGACCTTAAACTGCAAGTTGGAATGTACAGTCTTTACAGATTTGATAAATATATTGGTGCTTTATCATTCAAACATTTGTGACATAGGGTGGCCAACTTTACACAATTCTTTTCTCAACAGGAAGCGAATGTAATTTCCGTAAAAGAGGTTTAGCAGAGTCTCACTTTCTTTTTCGTAAAACTAAACGTGCAGCATTGTTTTGTACAGTTTGAAGTCTTTTAATTTTCTCCAGTTATTAAAGGGGTGACCCCCGAACTCAACGTCGTCTCAGACAGATCCAAGGCAAATGGGTTCAGAGCCTTTTTGCAGGGGTGTTGTATCCCTCTGAGCCGGGATTGGCCGACAGGGTAGGGTCGAAGGCTGCCTCTTAAATGATCTAAGTTGTGCAGATGGGAGCGTAAAAAGGCCTATATCATAAAAAGCAGCAAAGAAACAAAACAACCCCCCCCCCTCAAACCCCAACCCCCCCAACAAACAAACAAAAACAACAAAAACAAAACCCACCTAAAAATAGAAAAAAACCCACACACACTGAGGGAAAAAAATCCAACAATCAACAACCAACAACAACCAACAACAACCAACAACAACCAACAACAACCAACAACAACCAACAACAACCAACAACAACCAACAACAACCAACAACAACCACTCCCCTCCTTTCTTTAAAAAAAAAAGAACAAAAAACAAAGCGAAAAACAGAAGAGGAAAACCATACAAAAAGTGGAACGATGCAGTCATTAGCACCACTTATCACACGCTGTGGTTCTGCTTGCACGCGCCAGTAATCTGTGAGATAATTACTAGAGCTGTCCCCATTCGACACTACAGACATGAATTCAATACATGTATTCACAATTTTCCCGCTATTCACACTTATTCGAAATGTGGTATAGCCATTCGAATGCAGTGGGTGTGTGTGCGACTCTCCCCCCCCCTCTCCTCTCTCTCTCTCTCTCTCTCTCTCTCTCTCTCTCTCTCTCTCTCTCTCTCTGCATGTGTGTTTTTTTATGATAAATTGTTTTGGATGGAATCTTTGTCTCATTTTTCTCAACTCGCTGTTAAAATTAGAACGCACCTATGTCTAAAATCATTGAAGTAAATGCAGAAATACTTTATACTTTATTTCAAGACAGAATGAAGTGAATGAAGCTGTGTTTAGTGAATATTGAATAGCGAATGCTGCTGATGGACTTGTACGTGCTAGTTATTTAAAGACAAAAAAATAATCGCACAGATATTCGAATAGCACGAATAGTGACTTTGCGTTTCGAGGCATCGATAAAGTTTCTCTTTATTAATTTTTTTCACGCCGCCATTGACACAATTTAGATAATTTAGGAGACAGGCTTTGACCATGCCTGTCAGGGCCAACCAAGGCTGAGAGTGATACAGCATCCCCCCCAGTATGAAGGCTGAAATACTCAGAAAACAGTCTCCCCACTTGAGCATCGAACTCGAGTCTTCTGCATGCGACAGCAGCAAAGCCTAACCGCTACATCACAGACGTCAATATCTCCGAGTGGAAATTACCGCGCTATTTCTGTGTACTGCGCAGGCGCGTGGGGCTAATGTGTGAGTGTGCACATTGTTGTCATAGCGAGTCTGACCTTTGACACACTAACCTTCTCTCTCTGCAATTTCTTCTCTGGGGTGGAGGGTTGTTTTCTGATTTGTTAGTTCTGC